GCTTTTTTTGTCGTCAGTTCTTCTGCCTCCTTGATTGGCTCCCTCCCTCGTGATTGCCTCCCTCCCTTCCTCCCTCTTGATTGGCTCTCTGCCTCCTTCTTGATTGGCTCGCCCCATCATTGATTGACTCCCTCCCTCCCTCCTAGACACAATGGCCTCCTCTTGATTGACATATAATACGCATTGTGATGTGCTATATCATGTGCTATGTGATGTGCTATGTGATGTGTTATGTGAAGTGCTATGTGATGTACTATGTGATATGTGTTGTGCTATGTGATGTGCTATGTGATGTAGTAGATGATGTGCTATGTCATGACAAAGTATTATGCTGCAAACAGAATGCATAAAGAAACTAATAAAAAATTCAAGAAGCTGTGTGCCGGCCACAAAGCACTTAGCACATGCCACACAACACTCAACACATATCACGCAGCATTTAGCACATGTCACTTGTACTCACTCATGACTTCGAAAGTTGTGTGCTGGTCAAACAACACTTAGAATATGTCACACATTGTGACATGTGACATGTGTGTTGTCTGACCAGCACACAACTTTATGAATGCTATATGAAGTGTTGTGTGACATGTGCTAAGTGTTGTGTGACACAGCACACAGCCCTGGCCACCCAAATGTGTCCACCCCGTTTGCTGTGAGGCAGGCAAAAGGACAATGTGTGGCTGGAATCGGAGTCGGCCAGTACCTTTCTCTATTGTACGCCTCCCAACCGCCCTACTGGTGTCAGCGTGAGCATATATAGGGCTCTCAGGCACGGTTTCTCACCTTCAGCAGGTATGTGCCTGAGGTACAGATACCTGCAATCCAGTAGAATATCCCAGAAGGTACACTTTGATTGTGAGACGGTGGGTGCGTGAGTGGGCGGATTTGCTACCCCCAAAAGCCTGTTGTTGTAGCCAACCCAATCAAATGTTTGAAGCTCGTTGAACGATTGCTCCACCGTAATACAATGGCAACAGTAACCCGTTGTCGTTGAAAGCGGCAACCACACCAGCCGAATGCACAAGAACAGTTCCAATGCTGACTGCAGTAGCTTGGATTGGCAACATCGTGATCAGGTGAAACAACGGTAGCAATAAGCGAGTTGCAGTAAATTGAATATTTATAGCAATACTTGTTCACTCGCAAACTCACAGTCAACCACCACAATAACAACATCAGTTGTCAACTCAAATAATTATTGGCGACGAAATCGTTCACCCGCGTTATCGCAGCAAACCACCCGTCCACCGTACCAGTTGCTAAAAATTCCTCTTAAAACAAATGGCTATAACTTTCATGCTTCAGCAGTCGATCAACAGTTACCCTTCACTAAATTCAAGGCACCCAACATAATCAACATTACACACAACGTGCTGAGTGACAACAGCCCCTCTACTTATGGCAGCAGTCACTGAAACCCGCAAACAAATGGTTAACTTCTAGAAAATTGTTACCTTAGCAGCCGCTGACAAAATCATAAAGAAAAAATATGGAAAAATATTTCTGCCACATTGTTCTTTTTTTCTCCTTTGCTCTTCTCCTTCATTGCACCTCTCTTACCATTGCTATCAAGCACAACTTTTTCATGATGTTCTTACTACGGTAGATTCTCGAGAAAAGTATTTGTTAATTTATCAACAAATAAGCTTCATACATTTTTTACTTGCTTGACTCTCTTCCGACATACTCCCTTCGTTTAATCTCTTTGACTCCCTCTCTAACAATGAATCTTAAACAATCAAGCAATTCACCCAAGGCAGGGCCCAGGGACCTTGCAAACCTTCTTCTCCTATCCTTGTCTCAACCCCTGCTATTCCTTTCTCAATTTCATCTCTTTCGATCGTTATTCAAACGTACCGGGCTAGCTCTTTAACCAGATGCAGTAACTATGGAGACGACATGCATGGTAGAAAACATGATCATGCAAAGGTAACGGACACGACCGCGATAGCAAGTGACCTCGACTATAAGGAGGATAACAACTGCCAAGAAGCAAAGGATACAAGTGTCGGGATGATAATGATCAGCGAGATGAAGACGACCAACAAGATTCGAGTTGTAGGTGGGCGAGTTCAGTGGTAATATTAGTTTTAGGAATAGAACGACAGGGAGAGAGTCAAAGGAGAAAGGGAGTTTGCAAGAGAAGTCGAAGGGAGAAAAGATAATGGAGGTATAACTCGCCCGTTCCCCCAAGAGAACGAGCGAATAAGGAGTCTGAATGGGGTTTCAAGTACGGATAGCAGCATGGTTGCATTAGATTTCAATTCTAAATGCTGGTTTACCCGATACGAGGTGTATGGGAGCGACGTGGGTCAGATTCTCGACGAATGAAAGGACCTTTGAAGTGCCCTAATGTTGATATTTATCTCGTACATGGTAAAGATCGAGTCTACTTGCATCGTTGGCGTGGTTGTCTTCACTACACCACCACTGCCGCGGTTATCTTCGTTCAAACTTGTGCATATCACGCTCATACTCATCAACCGCGTGATCGTAATCGTTGCCTTTGTCAATCATGCTCGTCATTTGCCTACATGAATTATTTTCATGTCCTTGTTGTTTGGTTGTATCTAACTGCTATAGCAGCCAAATCAAGTATAGTAGAAGCAAGGAGCTGCAAAGAGAAGTGTGAGCTCAGTGAGAATCGAGGAGAAAATAGAAACTTACCTCACCCTGGCGAGGAAGCACTAAAAAAAAAGAACTTTTAATATCTTGCTCAAACAGGTGTCTCATGATGGTTGACAAAAAAAATACAACGGTGAGCTGGAGACTTGGTTGACGAGTATTGGCTGGGAGTCCTTGCTTGCGTCACTTCCAGACGAAGGTGGTTTATGAGGTAATGGTATAGTCAGCAAACTACTTGCGGTTGGAATGGTACTTCGACGCGACGGTAGCTGAGGCTAGAGCGAGGGTATGAGGATGAACTAATAAGAGATGTGCACAGAATATGGAAGAGGAGAATGAGGGGGTGAGAAGAGTGGGAAAGCGCATTTAAGAGCCACTGTTGAACCAGGTAAAGGAGTTGGGAAACAAGATAAGGGAGAACGGTTCGTGCCAAAATGAGGGCAAGTTGCGTAGGGTCGAGCTCACGACGAAAGAGTTAAAGAGTCTGTTCCAGCAAGATAGAGAGTTAATCCAGGCGTGGAGATCGGACTTTCTAGAGAGGATAAAGGCAAGAAACCTATCACGCGAAGGAGCTAAGGGAAAGTCCGCAGAGGACGTAACAACAGAGGACAAGGTAACGCAGGAGGATAGCAGCAGGGCATGAGCGGGACTGCACTATATGCGACTGACAGGTACTCGTTGCATGTGGTAGGGAGACTGGACGGCCCATTGGTGTTAGTGATCGCAGAGCTCCAACTCCATACCAAGTTGGGCATAGTTGAGGAGGCAGAGTGTGTTCGCCGTGCGCTGCGAGAGGCTAGGGGAACAGGTCTTTGGATTGGAGTGGAAGGAGGACGAAGGATACTAAAGTACGTAGTACGCACAACACCATTCGATGGGCGACCTCTGATAAGGGCGTGGTACGAGACGGCCAGAGAGACTGAGAGGTTAAAGATAAGCGAAGCCAAAAGGGCTTGGGAGCTAGGGAGAGTTGTAGTAGACGGAGCGATACTCAGGGTGTTAGCCGCTCACGACCGGTACTAGAGGGAATCGAAAAAAACTTTAGAGGTCATAGAGGATAGTGGAGATGAGGAAGATTTTGAGACGTTCTATGAAATATTGGAGTTGTCGGCGATGAGATTACGAGTGGCTATAGCACTGACTTTCCTCAGATGCTAGACAAATGACCTTATCTGGGAGTTAGAGGAGGAGAAACAGAGATTGGAAGCTCTTGGAAAGATAGTGGAGGTCAGTGAAGGTCCGAGGGGCGGCTTTAGATGGCAGTAGAAGGAAAGTTTCATCCGTTTGCGGGCTACCCGAGTCAGGACTAGATGATCTAGTGAGGAGGACAGAGATAGACGCTCGAGGAGTCTTGAGGGGCACTAGTCGGGAGACATTGGTTAGACTTGGGACTGCGATCTGCCGTTGCTGCAGAGATCCTGTCGCGGGTGTAGTGCAGATCAGGAGAGGCGCGATCTTGTTGGCAGATCCCGAAGGAGAGGTTTACATAGACACAGGGATTCTCGGGATCGAAGGCGAGCACGAGGTCCGTGACCCGAACGAAATACTGGTGGCAGTAATCGGGGCAGTCGAGAACTAGGATTGGAGACGAGCGCGAACCGTGATAGGTAAACAGGTCCGGGCTGCGAGTTCTGTCATTGGTCTGGGCTACTGCAACTGTCATAGTTTCGGGTTGTAACGCCTGACGTAAGTGCCCGACCACAACTTCTGGTAGCCTATGGAACCAGACACGATGGGGTCACAACCGACCACGGGCGAAGCAGGAGAGGAGTGCAAGACATCGCCCGACCGAGCACTGAGGGATCTGAAGGAACGAATTAGGCAGGGAGCACCGCTGAGATGGGTTGACCAAACCAATGACGGAGAACCCGACGTAATGGGTGAGCCAGTCGTGACAGAGCCGGAGGAGACTTTGAAAACTTGGACCTCGAGCGCTCGACGAGAAGCGACGACACGACACTCCCCCGAGTATGAACGGAGGGAAACCAGGGCGGATAGGCGCAGGGACGACTGGAGAGAGAGTCTACGAGATTCCTATTGGAGGGACAGAGACAGGGATAGAGCACCTCCCCGGCGTGTCTTCGACCCCCAGACGGGGGAGTCACATCCGCTCCCTTACGAGAGCAAGGATCGCTATATTATTACACACAAGACCTCTTAGCCTCCTACCTGAAGGGGCTATGGAATCACAAAATATCTGGAGAAGTGGGAGTTTCATGGTAGCCGGAGTCAGTGGTCAGAGGAAGAGATTATAGAAAACTTCCTATTTAATGTAGATCCAAGTCTCGGCAAGGAAGTTAAGGAAGCCCGACCGAAGGATGGGAAATGAACTACGTATAAGAAGAACCTCATTGAGCTTTACAAATTAGAGGATAACAAGTACTCCATCAAGGACCTTGAGACTATGACTCAAGATGAAGATGAGAGCGTACAGGCATTTGGGAAGCGTTTCGAGAAGATCTCTGACGTGCTGATGAAGAAGGGGAAGATCTCAGAGGTCGAGCGTTGTACCATCTTCATTGGACACCTGTCCAAAGGCAGACAAAAGAGTATAGTTAGAGATCTCATGCGCGACAAGCTTGACTTCCATGAAGTCCTAAAGCTCGAAATAAAGGCAGAGGCAGACGACTACAAGGACTTGGTATGGAGAGGAATGAGGAGGCGTGATTTCTCTCTCTATAAGGAGTATGCCACTGATAGATGTCCTAATTTCAAGGACTATCCCTGGTCGGAAAAGAATGAAGCGGTGGCCGAGGAAGTGAAGGAGATAAGGGACATGGTAAAGAGATTGACAAGACAGGTTACAAAGATTGTGACCAGCACAGGAACCACGACTTACCGGGACAAACCCGGAGGGCCCTATTCACTTCGCTGGGACCATAGAAACACCGATTCCTGGAGGAGTGTCAAGGATAGAAATCCTCGAACGCTAACTGATTATCGTGCGAGGGAAAGGGAGAGAGACGATGAGCCATGGCGACGTAGAGATGATGAGATAGACCGGGACCGCAAGGCTCGCGAGACGTATGGACGTGCTAGGAAACTGGATGATTACTCGCGTAGCCCTCGTTATGAGGCTGATAGGGGTAGAGGCCATTCTCGAGGTAGGTGGGAGTCGGATCAGGGCCGACGAGACGGATACAGGGACGACAGATATGAGAGGATGAACCGAGATGGATGCAAGGGTGGCAGGTATGAGAGAGGAGATATAGACGGAGACCGGCGAGATGACTCGCGCGGACGGTATGACCACGGGGGATTCGCGAGGGCGCAACGTGACGATTCGCGAGGGTGGTACAACCGAGAAGATCGACTCGATGAGTCACGCAGGCGATACGACCATGAATACCACCGGAATGACTCACGGGGACGATATGAGCAAGGAGGATCTGGAGGAGACCGCCACAGTGATTCGCGCGGACGGAATGAGAGAGGGGAATATAGCGCGTCGTCTGATCCGTATCCAAAGTCCCCTGACCCCAGAGCAGCCAGGGGTTCGACCTCTAGGAGCGCAGACGACAGGCCACCCACTCCCAGGAACTTTTGCGTCTACTGTAGAGGAGATGATCATATCAAGAGAGACTGCCCGGATCTCAAGCGGGCAATAGATAAGAGACTTGTCGTGCTTGATGATCGCAAGTACGTCAAGTGGGCAACTGATCTGGGAGACGTATCAATGTTCCCTTCGATGAAGGAGAATGTAGAAGCAAGGAGAGTAAAGCCGAGTAAAGGAAAGGAGCCGGTTAGTAGCCAGAGCATCAAAATAATTTTCGAAGGAGATATGGCAATCACACCCATAAGGGTGGCAGCCACCAAGTCGGCGAGGGGGTCTACATCGAGGAAGACCGATATGGATTACGTGATGGCAGAGAAGGACGGACAGCGGATCGATGGAGAGGAGGTTATTCTTTCACCGCGAAAGCGGGGAGTGAAGAAGTTCTTGATGAAGAGTTCGCTGGATGATATTGACACAGTCGAGCTACTGAGACGGGCCCATCGGCAGCCCATGTAGTGCTCTATTCTGGAATATCTGGCAGCATCCAAGCCGGCTCTCGATGAGTTACAGATAATCACGCGGAAGACTCGCATACCTCTACCGGAGGAGGTTCAGGTGGCCCCTAAGGCGGATGCTCCTACTGTAGCAGTATCAGAGGTGACAGCTAGAGCATATCGCATGGCGACAGTTCTTCTTGATGGGATGGAAGGCGTGCCTCCAGACAAGTTTTACGACTGAGCGGTTCTAGATGCTGTGATCGATAACGGCAGTGAGGCTGTCATTATACGAGGATCTGGCAGAGCAAGTTGGACTGGACTCGATAGGTCATACCTATTCGAGATAGAGACGGCTGATGGGAGAAAGCAACAGATCACAGGGGTTTGTCACAAGGCAGCCAYAGAGGTCCAAGGGGTACGAGTGACCCTGCCAGTCTTTGCAGTCAAGAACTGCAGCTCTGACCTGCTCTTGAGACGAACGTGGTTGAGCCATGTGCATGAGGTGACGATAGAGCGACCGGACGGGGGTCAGACACTGTCCATTAAGAAGCTAGATGGGACGCGGGTTATGATTGAGACGGTGGAGCCTCGAAATCCGAGGAACAGAGCAGCTCTCGATGTGGGTGCGCGACCCAGTGATCGGATTAAGTCGTTACCTATCTCCGACCTCGCGGTGCGATTTCGCGAGAAGAAGTACGGACCTCTGCTCACAGAAGAAGAAGGCCGGATTGTAAAAGTGGAAGATTTAGGGAGTCGGCTGATAGTGGACGACAACTCGTATCCAAAGGAGGCAGATGAGGAGTTTGGCGGCGTGGTATCTGTGTCTTTTTTAAGGGCACGACCCCCTATGGAGGGCTACCCAAGCGGCACAAGCGAGTAGCTCAGAAAGTTAAGCCAGCGGCGGTGGGCAGCGATAGATCTGCACTAGAAGGGATATCGAAAGAAGAGATCGCAAAGGAAATCAAAGGAAGAAAGAAAAAGGAGCCGCAACGCCTAACGGAAGAGAGGATAGCAGGGATGAACATCGGAGATGGAAATCTGACCCCACAGGAGCGAGAACGTGTGATAGAAATCTTAAAGACGTGCGATAAGGCTATAGCTTTCAGCGACGAGGAGCGCTGTAGGGTTGACCCTCGTTACGCTAAGCCAGCAAGGATTTACACGATTCCACATGTTCCATGGAATGACCCAGGATGGAAATACGCCCAGAAGGAGAAGGAAGAGGTTATCGCTTTCCTAAAAGAAAAGATGAGCCATCTGACAGCGCTTATGCTAATCGATGGTTCTTCCTACGAAAGCCGAATGGCAAGATCCGGTGGATCCAGGACCTTCAGAAGGTCAACGCGGTGACGATTCGAGATGTAGGCTATGTGCCTCACGCCGACTTACTGGCTGAAGGCGCCGCGGGCAGGTCGATTTATTCGGTCTGTGATCTGTTCTCAGGTTATGATGAGGTACCGCTTGATCCCAGGGACAGGCACCTCACGGCTATGCACACACCATTGGGACTGATACAGATGATGGTCGTCCCTATGGGTTGGACTAATGGGATAGCCGTTTTTCAGAGAGTCATGGTAGCTGTTCTCAAGGACTGTATTCCTGGCAAGGTTGAAGTTTTTCTGGATGACTTTCCTATAAAAGGACCAGTAAAGAAAGATGAGACAGAGGTCGTGCCAGGAGTTAGAAGATTCGTCAAACAGCACCTAACCGATATTTGCGCGATACTTGAGCAGCTGGACGATGCAAATTTGACGGTTAGCGGAACAAAGAGTCGGTGGGCCATCTCGACTGTTAAGATCTTAGGCTTTATCTGCGACTCAAGAGGACGCCGAGCGGATCCTGCAAAGCTAGACAAACTCCTAAATTGGTCGTCGCCGTTGCATAGCGCTACCGAGGTCCGTCAATTTCTGGGAGTGGTCGGTTACTGGCGGATTTTCATACGCAGSTATGMGGAGAAGGCTGAGCCATTGAGGGTACTCCTTCGGAAGACTGAGAAATTCTACTGGGATTCTTCTCAGGAACTCGCTATGCAAGAGCTTAAAGATGAATTTAAAGAGGGAGGGCGCGTACAGGGCGTGCCATTCTTTGATGATGAGGCCGGGAGACCCTTCATAGTATTCACGGATGCTGGACCTTGTTCAGTTGGTGGGCTGCTGTCTCAGAAGGACGCTGAAGGTAAGGAATGACCGTTAAGATTTGAGAGTAGGACATTTAATACGGCTGAGCGTAACTACAGTCAATTCAAGAAGGAAGTGTTAGCTGTTCTGCGGTGTCTAGACACGTTCAGACACTATATCTACGGACGGCGGTTCATCTTAAGAGTAGATCCCACAGCGGTTACGTCTGTCCTCCAGAAGGACTTTAGTCTGACGGACCCGACCATCGCACGATGGTTGATACGGATTCGACTCTATGATTACACAGTTGAGAGAATATCGGGTACTAAAAATGTCGTGGCGGATGGGCTTTCTCGGATCCCTCTTGAGGCCGAGCGCCCAATAGTAGCTGGAGCCCTTACAATGGCGGAGCCGAGACGCGCCGATCGATTTCTGGTTAACCTTTACGAGGGCAAATACCGAACGATCTGGCTACATTCGTCAGGAGAGGAGAGTCAAGATTCAGATATCGGGAGACAAGCGGCCCAGTATTGCCTTAGAGCGGGCTATCTATTCCGAAGGCCAGTCGGGTCGGGGATGTCCTTACGAGTAGTCTGTGAACCTAAAGAGAGACAGACGATAGTTGTGGAACTTCACAACGAGGTAGTCGGAGGCCATAGAGGAGTCAAAGGAACCTACGAAAAGGTACGCAGACTGTACTGGTGGGAGGGACAGTATAAGGACATCGAGAGATACTGTATAACCTGCGAGGAGTGTCAAAACTGAGCTCTTGTGAAATACAAAGAGCCACTTCATCCATCATATCCAATCAGGCCAGGAGAGAAGGTACACATCGATCTGGTGAAGATGCCGAAAGGAGTAAGCAATATGAACTATGTTGTGAACATACGAGACGACTTCACTGGGTTCGTGGACGGTAGACCTATCAGGAGTAAGTCGGCAAGGGAAGTGAAGAACTTCGTCCTAGAGTACTTATCTAGGTATGGATGTGGCAGCAAGATAGTGATGGATAGAGGGGCGAAATTTCTAGCTGACGAGGTTCAGAGTGTGTTCAAGAGAGTCGGGGCGAGAGTTTCGATAGTCACCGCCTACCACCCACAGTCGAACTCTCTAGTAGAGAGGGGACACCAGACTCTGATAGCGTCACTATCCAAGTGGTGCAAAGGTAAGGACAGCGATTGGCCACGATATTTTCGATACGCAATATGGGCGGACAACGTTATGGTCCGAGCTAGCACTGGATACCCACCATACACCTTGTGGTTCGGACGACATTGTCCTCTTCCCATAGAGTTTCACGTCGACAGCTGGACAACCGTCGACTGGAAGGAAAGGATGTCCAAAGAGGAACTCATAGCTGCCCGAACAAGACAGATAGCCTATGGTTTGGAAGACAACCTTATGACAGCAGCTGATCGTCTGGCTGTGGAGAGGGACAAAGGAAAAGAGAGATGGGATAAGGGCGTGCGGATCAAGAAAGAGAGGGTGAGCGTAGGAGATATGGTCCTTCTCTACGACGCAGCACTGGAAAGGACCTGGACCGGAAAACTCGCCAACAGATGGATGGGACCTTACAGAGTGGTTGAGGCGTTCGACTGGGGTGCCTATATGATAGCAGAATTAGACGGATCCAAGTGCAAGGACCCAGTAGCGGGTGCTAGGTTAAAGCTGTTTAGACCCAGGCCAGCACCCACCTTATCGCTGACAGGCCCGAAAGGAAAAGGGAAGGCCAAAATGGAGGATGAAGCCCCCTCGAGACGATTCGAGGTAAGGAAAAGTTCCAAGAATAGGAAAAAAATGGAGAGAAGAAAGCTCAAAGGAATGGCATAAGGAAGAGAGAAGAAATGGTTATTCGTGCTTATGAGAGCCAGACGGAGAGTTCGTATTAGACAAGCTGACGAGTCGTCACCTTTCTCGGACCAACGTCAGAAGAGAGAGAAAATCCTATCCGGGCCAAATTCCCGAAGAAAGGGGGGAAACAACAAGCATCTTCTTAGCTTCACAACTCATAACAAACTGAAACATAAGATAATTAAATGCCGACGTGGGCGTCCTTTACGGGCAATTACCCTGAAGCTTGTCCGCTTCGTTTGACGTAAGTAGATAGGGCTCGACGGGGGCGTCGAGAAGTGGTCCGGGCTAACTGTAAGGCGACCATAAGCAATGAGCCGCCCGAAATCTGTGGCTTTGGGACTTAGGCTCAAAAACAAGTCCGTGTTTTGACAGTACTCTGGTTTGACCAGGCAACAAAAATTAAGGGAGCTCAGGGCACCCCAGATTTTGGGAGCACTGAACCTTACGAGTAACTCTCAAAGATGGCGAAATGGGTAGCCGCTCCCGGCACATCTAGGGACCCTCATTTCTGCCCGTTTCGAGGCTAGACATGGGATGGCCGGCCGCGGGGAGGCATCGCGTGGGTTGACCCCGCCGCAATGCTTTTGCCGCCTATGATCGGGGCTGGAATAGCGCCTCAATTTTTTTTTAATTTTGGTACCTAAACTAAAAATGGGAGAAAAGATTAAGAACAGTAGGAGGGGAGAAAAATGTAGTATTCCTTAATTTCTTTATTTTCTGTGGCATTAAAATTTTGGAGAAAATACCTCATTATTATATGTTTCGGGCAATCAAAAACAAAAGAAAAATATTAAAAATGATAAAGGAGAAAAAAAACAAAAGAATTCTAACAATTTAATTAAAACTCCCTCATAATTTATTTTTTGTGGACTTATGGTTAAAAAGGGGGTAGAATGATTAGAAATGATGGAACGAACAAGAACTAATGATTATTTGATGCCTGGCCTGATTTTGCTTGGATTAGCCACCGTCAATTCAGAACCCAGATTTGATCAAATTCTCTGAACTCTAACTTTTTTTTACTATCCCCTGATGATCGGGATCATCTGTGTCGCTTTCGCGATTTATCTGATTACTAACCTCACTGAGTCAGTCCGAGAGTGGTCGCATGGACGACGTGGGTGGTGCTACCTTGGGCTGACAGTATGGTATTTGGCTTGGTACGGATACGTGGCTCGGAGAGATTCGGTATTGTTACGGACTGGCTACATCCGACGGTATCCGGCGTGTATCTGGGTCGGTATGGGCTCGGCGTCAGTTTGTTTCAGACTTGGGACCACTACGGTGACTTATTTTCAGGGTTGCAGCCACCGTGGTCAATTAGCTTCACAATCGGAACCTCTACGGCAATTTATTTCAGGTTCGGAACCGGAACCTTCACGGCAATTGTTTCAGGCTCGGCATGGGTTCGGCATCAATTCATTCAAGGTGTGGCACGATCGTGGCATCGAATCCCAGCTCCGGTGTCCACTCCAGTGACTTATTTTTAGGGATAAGGCTCCTGCGGCGGTTAATTCTCAGGCCTGAGACCACTGCGACATTTTTTTTTAGTTCAGGCTCGGAACTACCATGACGCGTTATTCCAACATTGAGATCACTGCGATAACTTTTTTTAGGTCGGGATCATCACAAATATTTATTTCAGGTGCGACGTCATCATGGTGATTTATTTCAGACATGGCACCTTGACGGTAGTTTATTCCAGGTTCGGTCCCATCACGCATGTTATTTCAGGTTCAGCGCTATTCTGACGGATTATTACTGGACGTTACTATCGCAGAGATTTATTTCAGGAACGCCGCTGCTACGGTGTGGGTCACACGGATCTGTCACGTACGTATATATCATTTACGGCGCGGCACAGTCTTGGACTCGGACAGGCATGGTCCACCGGTTTGAGGCAGGATCAGCGCTGGCATGGTTGAGCCTACTGCGACCCGGGGTGGGTGGCATGGGGTCGGTAATCGATCGGCATTGGTGCAACGCCCTGTCCCAGTAATGATCTGGC